ATTTTTTCGCATGTTAATTTAAATTTCACATAATATCACATGTTATCACATGATTTCACATGAAATCAGACGTGTAAATTCATGTAGATTTTTTGTAAAGGCTGCATTCCAGTTACCCGTTTTTTATACGTGCGTACACGCACGTAATTCGCTTATACGTGCGTACACGCACGCACGTGCCTTTATACATGCGTACACGCACGTGAATTAGCTTTACATCCTACTTTTGAAATAACTAAATTTATATAAGGACAGCATTCAGTTGTGTATGATTTAATGTGTATTTGTTAAGGTTATTTCCACTTATATGAAATTTTAAGCGAATTCAACTTTTAAGTGCGTGTGCGAATGTATGAAAAACGCGTAACTGGAATGCAGCGTTAAGGGTGATGAAATGATGTTATTTTTCTTTACATGTACTTCTCAACCAATACCTTGGATATTGTTCTTGGGCAAGCAGCTTGGATTGTATTCCTGAAAATAATACAATTATTCTGTTATTATACCATCTCAAACAAAATCAGAGAACAGGGACTGTGGTAACTGGAGGAAAAACTGTTGCGAAAAAAGAATTAAAAAATTCAACCGAAATATAACGGAGATATCCCAGCCTAGCCATAGGCCAGGGGTCTTCAAACCATGGGTCGCGACCCAAAATTGGGTCGCTAGCACACCCTCGAAGGTCGCAAGGCTTGTCTTGGGTCGCATGGGTCGCAATACTTGTCTAGGGTCGCGAACTTACACTAGTAAACTTTACAAGACGAGAGATCAAGTGATAAGATGCACATATTCACATATGAATATTTCCTTGCGAAATTTGCGATTATAATGTTTTTTTCACGATTATTATGAAGCACTCAAGCGCTAGATTGCTACAATAATATGGTAAACAGGTAAACTGGTAAAGCTTTAGATATAATACCTTTTACTTCATGTAACTCAAACATTATGGCTTAGCACCACTCGGCGCGCCTTCGGCGCACGTCGTCTTCCGAAGTAGAGTCGTCGTCATACACTCGGAAGCTTTCGGTGAAAAGCCATAATGTTTTTAATTATCGAAAGTTTTATTGGCAGTGTTCAGGGTCGCGGGACACCTTGGGTTTGGGTCGCCGAAAAAAAGTGGTGAAGACCCCTGCCAATAGGCTCTCTCTCGCGCGCTTGCTATGCTTGGTTCATAGGGGTACGAAGGGGTACTTGTGGTGGAAAAGGGGTAGCTGTGGGGAAGGGACGGCGCGGGAGATAGCCATGAAATTTAAAAAATGGTCCCCGGTCACCAGGTCTCAGGATAAGGAGCGAGACCGCGCAGTGAAGTCAATGATAGCAACAATCAGGAAGCATTGAAAAATCATTCATATTTTAAATCATTTTGTAAATTTTTGGCGTAGCTGTATGGCAGGAAAATCTGGTAAGTACTTTTATTAATGTTTTGCTATTAATATTATACTTCGTTTTATTCTTTGCATATATTTGTTTTGACTATGGAATGATATTTTAATCTCCCATCTTATGAGTGATGTATACCCCTTGCTGTGAGACACTTACTATTTAAATATTTCGTGTTATGTAAATTGATACGCTAAGTCATTTGTATAATTATACATAATTCAAGTTGTTATTTTAATCCCCCTTGAAAGGATTTTTAGGGGTGTTAAAAAATTTGTGCTCATTTAACTCCAATATTGGGGATTAAAATAACACCCTTTGAGGTGGTTAAAAACTTTGGAAGGTTTGGCAAGGAATTTTCCGGCTTATTCTGACCGTAAGTATATGCTAGAATTTACATCAAATGTTTTTGTTTCAAAATCCAAGACAGAATTAAACATCGACAAAATGTATTGTAGTTTCTGTTCGAAACTTCCCATTCCCTTTTTATTTGCTTGTGTATAGCCATGTACTAGACAGCAAAATTTAATATTACATTTATGATTTGGGGGTTAAATAACACCTTGAAAATAACAGTGCATTGATTTCAAAATGAATATAATAAAGTATCCAATCAAAATTTCGCAGAATAAATCTAAATTTCACAACAACAATCTAATTATATACTGATCACTGTAAAAATATGTCATCAACAATAAAATTATCTGATTAGCACCAACCAATCAAATGAGAAATTAAAAAATATTTTGTCTCATAGACCACTCTGATTTACCACCGAGGTACAGTTAACGCAACGACTTTCGTTAAGGTTTGTATCAGGCATATCTATTTATTTATATAGGCCTGATGGGTGGTTAGGCCTACGCTGGGTTCTTAATTAACACATTTTCTAAAATAAGCCTTACCTTATGTGGGTCGAATAGGTAAATATAATCATAAGAGGAGTTTTCCTTCAATATTTTCTCAGAAATATTGTACACCACGTTATGTAACATTTCGCAGTTTGATTCATTCTCTAAAACCATTGACTTTTTGTAATTGATTGATCTACAACATGGCTCTGTAGCACATTCCATTACGCAATCTATCCTTTGAGAAACGATTTTTGCCATGAAAACTGTTTCATTAAGCCTGAAACCTGGAGTATATAAGGAAAACATGAGTGATACAAATATAGTAAGGATCGAAACCAAAACTATTACACGATTACTTTAATTTTTTTCTGTCATTAGTAAACGAACTAATATTTGAGTCGATTAGAGATATTTCAAGGTTGTGGATCGCAAAGGGCGCGTGAACGTAAATGCGAGTGCTTGGAAACAATGACTGAATCAGTTTTGATTTTTTATTTCAAAGAAAACTCTTTAATTAGGATTAACAGCAGTTTTAATAAATTACAATAGTGCGATTTTATTGAATTAATTAGGTCATACGGACACGACATTATGCAGTAAAACCGTCGACAACGCAACCTTAACATTGTGGTAACGAAAAAAGCAAACAGTATAGGTCAAATCCGTGCAAATTAAAGTTATCAAATTAACTTTTTCCTGACGATTTTCAATTCACCTTGATTCGAAAAATAAATGCTACGAACACTTGAACAGTTTCTGCAACACAAAGTATTAAATATAGGTGCATGGTTGGTGTTGAAGTGATGTCGGCGCGCGCCATTAGCTACTGAATTGTATTGATGTACCTTTACATGCAGTTTTTCTGAAAAAAACCCCACCCATTTCCGTGGGTTCGGAAATATACAGTAACATAAACGTGTAAGACTCTCAGTTGGTTTAATATCAAACTATCCATGAGATCTATTTAAATAAGGGTGCATGCAGCGGTAGAATGTCCCCAATCTGTATTGCCACGCAGTCTAAATACATGATTTACGAATTACGAATTAGTTATGTATTTTTGATGCGAAATCTTTTAATATTGAAAACACATATCTACTATACGTGGAAATTCTGTCTATTTTTGGCTGTTTACATTGTCACCTTGTGGTAAACTGGTTGCCAATATAAATTACTTATGAACACGAAAGAATGTTGTCGGGAGCATAATATACTATAAAGACTATACAGGGTGTCCCAAAAAACCCGAAAACTATTGAAATCACCAATAACAATTTAATTGTTAGAATTTGAATGCCTTAGCGCTCTGTTGGTTCCCACGAGTGCATAAATGATTGGCATAAGTAAATTTTATGCATAAAGAAACAGTTTAAGAAACTGTTTTTAATTCCCAGGAGCAGAAAATCGCGCACTTTACCAGGAGATATTCCTAACTAAATTCTAATACATGCACCTTGTCAATATTTTACGCATCATTACGTCCAGCTGTTTGGTAGGGCATTCAAATTTAACAATAAGTGATTTCAATAGTTTTCGTTTTTTTTGGGACACCCTGTAGAGCGTTTCCACATACGTCACATGCAGCCGTCATGTTGGTGTTTCAATTCAAAATAATTTTAATTACACTCTTTTGTCTGGAACACAACATGGCAGCCATGGCTATTGTGGAGTTGGTCCCCTGGGGAATGAGTGCAAACGCTCTATAATATAGCGTCTCAAAATATTTGTGAATCCTACCTTCAAGACTTGAGTTATAACAAATATTCACATTTTTTGTTCCTTGAGCATGCCCAATTGTCAGGAATATGCATGGAATGAATTCAAACAGCGGATGATATTTCGGTGGATGCATGGTTGGTTGACCACTGCTCGAGCTGTACACATATACAAAGTGGGTATTAAGAATAAAAAGAAACAATGAACTATTTAATATAGATTGCAATGTGCATTTTATAGGATTGCCATTTATTTATTTTTTATTTGAAAGATTCGCCAAACAATTGTAACATGGCAGTGTGATACCATGTTATCTAATCTATTCAATACTATACATTCAGTACTGTTATAAATATAAGAGGAAGACCTGAGGTAACCTTCCTCGCATGAGTAAGCAGAGATTAAAGAACCACGGGAAACGCCTAGTACCACAAACCACGCAAACAGGACATGGTTTTGTGATTGATAAGCACTGCTAGAACTTGCTTTGACAAACATATTGCGTAGAGGAAATTAGTCATAGTTACAGATTTCTTCCTCTAAAATTTATTATAAGCTGAACACAACCTGAGAGTCGGGAGCGGAGAGTGAAGTGAGAAGAGCCATTTAGGCTAAAATACTTCATAAGCCAACAACGGCTGAAGTATATAATGAAAAGGCTAGATAGTTAAGCCTCGTCAAGTAAACTAAAGTACATTGGAATATTGTGGAATTATTAAAGAAGACGGAATACAAAGCATAAAGAATAAAGATTCAAAGTTGTGCTCAGCTCAAACAAATAGAGAGATAAGCTGATATATTAAAAATACTATATTATTATAATATTATAGAGACGCTAATTCATATTGTTGAAAGTAAATAAAAATATATAAAAGGTATATAAGGTTTCATGCTATTTGTGTTACGGTAGCGTTAATATAATTTGACCTAGTAGACCACAATGTTATTATTAAAGAATTAACCCTGCTTGGTACCCATCCCTCTATAATTCGGTGGATTAAAGCCTTCCTCTGCGATCGCGAACAATGTGTCCGGGTGGGAACTTCTATGTCCTCTTGGAAGAAAACAAATGGTGGCTTGCCACAAGGTACAAAGTTGGGTCCATTATTGTTTGCTGTTCTCATTAATTCCTTACTCAAAAACTGGCCCAGTAGGATCAAGTTTGTGGATGACACCTCAGCCCTAGAGATTATACCACGTTTTTCATCCAGTTTAATGCCATTAGTCGTAAATGAAATCTCGGACTACGCCTTAGAACGTGGAATGGAACTAAATTATAAGAAATGCAAACAAATGTTGATCAACTTTCTTAAATATAAAGGATCTGATGATGAAAACCCGATCTATGTTGCAGGTAAACCGGTGGAAACTGTGTCCTCTTTCAAACTCCTAGGTGTATGGATATCAAATGACTTGTCATGGAATACTCATGTCGACATGGTATTGAAAAAGGCAAATTCTCGCTTATACGCATTGCGTCTGTTAAAAAAGGCTGGTCTCCAAGCATCTGACATCGTCCAAATATATATCTCATTCATCAGATCCAGAATTGAATATGCATCCCCTGTATGGTCGTCAATACCTAAATCATTATCTGACATTCTCGAATCTGTTCAAAAGAGAGCATTGAGAATAGCTTATCCAGATCTGTTATATGATGAAGCCCTTGAAATTTCAAACTTACAGTATCTGAGTACTCGTAGAGACATCTCTTGCAAGAAATTCGTCGAATCTCTGCGACGTGATGTTTCACCCTACAACCCTTTGACCCAAATTATGGAAATTCGTCCCGGGGTAAAAACTCATGACTATGACTTAAGGAATGACAGAACGGCCGAACAACCTTTATGGTCAGAAACCACTGAACGGTTAAAAAACTTTGTGACTAGGAAATATTATTAGCTTTATAGTTAATTAACAGTCCCAACTAAATAAACATTATTTTATATAATATATATATATGTACATTTTAATATAAATTTTTATGCTATATTAGTACTCCATGTAATTCAGTTTTCCTTTAAAAACTGCAAATTGGTTTTAATTAAACAGATTGATTGATTGATTGATTGATTGATAATTGGAAAATATATTTGACGCATAAATAGCGCACCATAACACAATACAAACATACATTTATAACATAATTATTAAAAATAGTTTCAATATATTAAAATGTTTGCACGATGATATATGATTGTGGACTTCAGTAGCCTACTGTTGCTTCTTGCGTTCGTTTTAATTTCTCTCATAAATAACGGCTGTTTTTTTCAGTGTGCTTTACAGTGTGGAAATGCCTTTGGTGCGCGATTTTCAGCCTGGACATATAAGAAAACGCATTGAGGACAGCATGCATGCATCGGTAACTTGCCGGGTTGTATCTTTCAAAGAAATGAAGAAGTGTCACAGTTAGTTTTTTCCAGTTAATAATGAACTTACAGGCGATGAACCAGAACCAATAGATCAGAATGACTTAATATAATAATGCTATAGTCCCTGTATATTTGCAAGGTGTACACCTCATATATGCTTGTAATCATTATAATTGTGGCGTAAAATGGGTTATAGCTCTAACTTGTTAAAGTATATGGTTTTTATCAAGAAATCCACTAAATTGTAGGGTTATTAATAAAGAATAACTCGTTAATGATCAACTTGTTAATGAAACACAAACAAATCATGCCCAGACATTATTAGACGAAGATATATTCCGTCACACCGCAAAACTGAAAACAATTGGTTTACTGCAGATCTCGTTTGTTTGCGGAAGCCATTTCCAAAGCATATACATTTTAGCTTCGTATTTACTGTGAAGAATATCATTATCTAGAATTAAAAGATTTTACTGAATATGAGTGACATATAGGAGCAAAAATAACAAACAGTTTTAATGATGGACAGCTTGTGAAAGTAGGGCAATTTACTTATTATTCGCATTTTAAACTATATTATTTGTCATTCTACAAAAATCGAAATAGTTTAATAGCGTGCATGCAGTCTCTAATCTATACCATCGGTATACACTTCGGCAATGATCAATTCACACTCAGGAACATTTCTGAAAGAAAGTCTCTGCGAGGGGGAGTGATAAATGTTTCTATGTACATATAATGAAATGTTTATACGAGAATTGAGAAACGGGAGAAATTTTAGATTTCTTCGCAAAGTTCCCCGATAGTGGGCCTAACGTAATCAACATGTTGTTGGGAGAGTGCTGCAAATGCCGAATTAGTGATCCTGTACATGTGGTCAGGGTGAATACTCCCGCGGGGATTTTCAGATCTTAAGTCTCTTATATAGAGCCAGCAAAATGCAATAAAAATTGCTAGGTTAATGAAAATTGTAAAAAACTTGTCCGTAAGAATTACCTAAAAAAAACAAGTATGTCAAGCAATACATACACATGGAAGCTTATGCAACAATAAAAATGTTCTTCCTTTTTATCCAATTTATTAAAGTTGGTCAATTTGCCGCATAAGATGTATATTATTTCGCGCACACGCCCTTCTTCCACGTTACTTAATGGATTAAAATTAACCATAGTAGTTTTAATAGCCGAGGTTGTTGGGAGAGGGAGTATTCGTCCCCCCATGATGTTCCACCAAGTCCGGCATTGACTACGCCACTAAGCTAGCTAATTGTGTGAAGAGTACAGCGAATTTACACAGGGCATTAAATAAAAAGCCATCTTCTTGCATGGAAGAGCATATGGGTAATTCGCTGCGTCCTCTCCAGGCGCTCATAAAAAGATTTCATACGACTCACTATATGAAATGTTTACATGAAGTAGTGCATCGCGACGAACAAGCGCGGGGATTTATGGTCTTGAGGCAGCAAAAACTGAGGAGCGCCTGGAAAATCTTGTTTCGTTTCACGCACAATTTGTTTGCTTCTTGCAACTCGTGGATTTTCGACAGTTTTTGGGCTTTTTTCGCAATTTTTCAGACAAAAAAAATTGTCAAATTGTTCAGTTAAACACGTGATATATATACAGTCAGATGATATTTGATATCATTTCAGCCTGCAAATGATTCAAAATGTCAACACTTGAAGAGGTCAACGAGGCTGTAGAACGGTTTATATGAGAACTTTACAAGGTATTTAAAAATGACAATGCGTCCTTTTCACAATGAGGAATTTATTAAAAAGTTTTACAACTACAGGAGGTTTTCAAACAAGGGAGTGTTGAAACTTTATTTTGCATTGCGTTCGCAAGATTGTTCTCAGGATTTCACCTACGAGCTTATTTACATGCAGTGTGTTGAATTTTCATGATTCAAACGATCGACAATATCTTGAAAAATTCAGGTAAGGATAGCTTTATTTCTTTCTGGTGATATACATGAAGCCATCAGTTCTATTTAAATCTGCTGTTCATTTGTCCAGTGTCCTACAGCTATTATACAAGATCGGCCAGTCGCTAACAAGGACGCACATATCCAATCCCCAATTGCGCGCCTATAATTATAAACTACTATCATATATAAACTACTTCATGTAAATTCATGTACATCAGCTAGTACTCGCATGAAATATTTTTATTAGCGTCTGGGGACGAGGAATTTCGTATACCGAACGTGAACAAAAACTCGTCAGATCTAAATTCTTGTGTCTTAATATTAAAACAATATACACGTATGCATGCATGCATTCCAATCACTTTCTTCAATTATATTCGGCACATTTCGTCACGTTTTCTTCTCAATATTGTTTCTGCATCACGCCAGGCGGTGGCGCCGCGGCCGTGGGAACCAGGGGGCATGCCCCCTATAATTGAGACCCGTCGGAAAATTGTCAATGTTGTTGGAAATTGTCAAAGTTGTCGACGGGGGGTGTTAAGATTTAAAATGTTGTCGTCCGGAAAATTTTTTAGTTTGTCGGAAAAAAATTCGGTTTGTCGGAAAAGTACGTCCACCCCCCCCCCAAAAAAAACCCCCTAAAAAAACATGGGGCCCACGGCGCCACTGACATCAGTTAATATTCAACGTGATACTACTCTACCGGAACACGCTTTGAGTGAGTATTATATAAGTTTCGAAGTGTCTTAACAAGGCTGCAAGGTTAAACTGTGTTGAAAAAAAGTTTAATTATTTGATGTAAAAGTCTAGGAGTCAGGTCTTAAGTTCTCTAGCAAGTCTAGAATATACTCTAATGCTAAATTTTCTGGTAAGTCTAGGCTATACTTCTTACGTCGTCAAAAAATTATGCAATATGATCGACTACAAACTGTAGCTATATAACATGATATTAAAGTGAAATTTCGTTCCTTTTATACATTGTTGTTTAGTTCATGTTTGATAATGACAATAAAAAAGCTAGAGACAACTCATTCAGTCGAAACAAGTTAAAAACTGGGTGAAATGAAGTTAATTTCTTAATTTTTCAAAATGTGTTGTTATACGTTGTTGCTATGCAGGTTGCTAAGGCATAGAGCGAACAGGTGGGAAATTTGCTGTCGCTGGTCAGTAAATTGCGGGCGCTAGCAAAAAGTTTATTAAATTTATTAAAATGAGCGAAAACAAGTTTTTGGGCTTCCTGTTTGGGAAGGAACCGTGTATGTGCAAGAATTTAAGTTCGTTTATTCAAAGGCTATTGAAAAATGTCCTGGATAAGAAACTTTAGACTGAAATCGGGCAATTATAAACTATTTATTTCGACGACGAAATATTGACGAAATTCAACTTTTGCCGAAGATGCAAGTTGTTTACGCTCCCTGGACAGATGAAATTAAAAAACTAAACGAACGGTGGGTTTAAAAACATCTTTAGAAGGTTTATTTATGATTAAATCCTTGCAAAACTCGTGATTTTGCTAAAAATAGGAAAAAGAAAAATTTTCAACTTAAGATTGTATAAGATGTTATTGTCGAGAGCCTCAAAACCAGAGTATCTCTAAATGATTCTTCAAAGATTTCTTAATTCACTAATCAAAATATTTTTGATATGAAAATAAGGGTTGATACCACTAAAACGGCACAACCGTCTAATATTGTCTGTGTTAGTCTGAATAGGTACCACGGAATAATCCGCCAGAAATTGCATGTGTTTGCTTATCCTGTTTTTAAAAGCATGTCCTTTGAAACACTAGTACTAGTGTCTATTGATTCAGAGAATATGAGCAGTTTTGAAATCATGCGAATACGTTTCCCTCTCTCTCCAATTTAATACAGGGTGATTTGTGGGGGTGAAGTTAGCAGAATAAAATAAAAAAATTAAAATATTTTTGATATTGTTTTACTAAACATGCCGAAGAAATGATCTCGCTAGCCGAGTCAGTCAAGGATACTTTACCTGCGACAGAGTTAATAATATATGGTCTAATTACTCGGGTAGATAATGGTGATCTTGCAAATAAAGTGAATCAGGTTAACAAAGTTTTGAAAGAAATGTTTCGCCACTGGAAATTCATTGGACATCATAATATGACACCAAATCATCTTAATCGATGCGGGATTCATCTCAACAAAGTGGGGACAGCAATGCTATCTCGCAATTTTAACAAGTATATTCATAATAAGAAAGACTAGGACATTACCGTTTGGGAGTCAAACAATGAATGTAAAGAAAACCAAATTATATACAGTGAAACTTTAAAGTGGGAAAGAGGTAGGGTGGTGAAATACGAAATATATGCTATACGAAATATATGGTTGAAATATATGCTGTACAGGTTTTAAATCATGATCAGTGCATGGTTAGTATATGTTTATGGGACTAGCATTGCCCTATCTCGTGAAAAGGGAATATAGCGTTGAATACAAACTATAAAAACCCATTCATATTTCAATTTTACAAGTAGACAAATTTCAAGCCTTCAGATAACTTAATTCTTCATATAGTACCTTGCTATTGTAGGGGTAACCCATAATAAGGCATGACTATTAGTGTGCTTTAATTACTCCA